TGGGGTTCGCAGAGGAAGAGCAGACGGGCGCCTCTCTACACTTAGTGGCCCTCGACGTTCGGAGGCCAGAAATGGCCCACAGTGGCCCTCGCAGTGCGGGCGTGGAGGCCAAGTGCTAATCTCCGCCAAGTGGTATCGGCGAGCGGGGAGTCCAACCCGGGGAGCACCCCGACCGGAAACAGCCCCCGCGGCACTTTAATGAGGCCAGGAGGCCGCGAAAAGCTCACCGCGGTGCTTGCTCAGGTGCTTGGGTTCTCTTATCTATGTCAGTTATTCAGTGGCTGTTTAGGGTGCTTGGGTATTCTTAACTCCGTGCCCTTCAACGTTTTATTTATTTTATTTTTTATTGATTTCTTACCAAGAGGAAGGGAGAGGGAGAGAGAGAAGCATCAATGTTTGGGTTTTTTGTTTTGTTTTTTTTTTGTCCTTTGAGGCATTTTATTTCCACATATATATCACATCCCTAGAAAAAGAATCCCAGGATTTTCCCTCCTGTGTGTTTTCGTCTTGCTTCTTCATGGTCCATGATGCCCGCTGAGGTTGTCAGTACAATGAAACCAAACTGACGGGATGGAAGCAAGTTGTTCTGCCATTTTTCTAGATCTTTGAGTTGCACATCAAATCTGGGGCTGATTACTCCACACTTGTTCAACCTGCCTGTGAGGTTCACAACAATTTTCCCAGCTCTGTGGTCATCAATAATTTCAAATTCGCCAATGTAACCATGCTTCATCATCACAGTCAGAAACCGGACGATGACTTTGGAGCACGGCCGGATGAGAACCTGGCGCTTGCCTCTCTTTTCGGCATTGTTGATACTCTTCAGAGCATCAGCCAGGACATTCATGCGCACCATGATGGCGGCACGGACCGATGGCGGAAAGAGCAACATTTTTTTTTTAAGTTTCCTATACATATGGCCAAATTTAATGGCACTAAAAAGGCTAACACCTTAGGAGGGGGAATTTACATGGTGATAGAAATGTTATCATCCCAATTTTGCTTATAAAAATAATGTAACTTTAGAGACTGGAGTAAAATGCACCACAGTTAACAGTGATTATCTGAAGGTGCTAGAATTATGGGTAATCATCATTTTCTTCTTTATTTAATTTTTTTGTAACACAATCAGAAAAGATGATTTGTAATTTCAATTTTAAAAAAGCCTTTCCTACAAATAGGCACATGAAAAATAATCACATCAACAGTCACATAAGGAAATACAAATGCACATCATGAGATATCACCACACACATATCAAAATGGCTAAAATTAAAATGGTGATAACATTCAATGCTAGCAGGGATGTGATGAAATTGATTCATTCACACATTGCTGGTGGGAATGTAAAATGGTATAGACAACTCGGGAAAATAGTTTGGCAGTTTCTTTTAAAACTAAAAATGATCAATTAGTTTTATCAGTTTAACACCGGA